GCTAAGCTAGCGAAACAGTACAGAGACAGTGAGTGGATACTTTGGCTATAAATTAGGTAGTGAGTACACAGAAAGTGTGCTTCGGATGAAGCACGTGAAGATTATACTATGAAAAAAGAATGTATTTAAAAGTTGTTAATTAAACTGCTAAGCAAATAAGCTACTCAGAAACACCACTGTGTTTGAGCAGGAACAGGAAGTGATACTATACCACAGAGCGAGCGAACACCAAGTGACGATAATGATGTGCTACGTGATTGCTAGCGACACAGCTATGTTAGCATATATAGCAGATATATATATATAAACACAGTGAAGCTAACCTTTTTCCATTCGATAAAAGTTAACGTGAGGGTTCCTGATGGTTAGGGACAAATGCAATCGCATGGCAGGATGCTGTAAACGGACCAAACTTCAGTCAGGAGAACAACTGAGATAATCCATCCACAATACGAGGTTAGTCATTAATATACTGCAACAACATGAGAACAGAGCAGCTGCCAGAGAATTCAGCATTGATGAATCAATGGTACAGAAGTGGAGGAAGCGCAGTTTTTGGCTTTCCTCATATTCCAAAAGTGCTTCATCTCTTCATTATTACTGTCGCCCGCCATAATTTGCAGATGATTTTGCTTGCAGCCGCTGCGATGCTTTTGACCAAAACAGGCACTTGATGACACCATCAGCATGCGCTATCGCGGTAGAGTGGTATAGTCAAAATCCCTACCGTTGGTCAAATTCATATTGTTTCTACCATATACTGTTTATACCGCCCACCCCTAATGCAAAGCCTCAGTCTGTTGTGGGTGCACGTGGTCGTGTACAACGACTGGGATATGACACTATAACCCAGTAATTTCTCTGCGGCTAACGTACTATTTAATGAGTCTAAAAAAAAGAAATCATCCATAAGGTTAGTCATTGTCTGTACAAACATTACAAGTATATTTAAAAGTACTTGGCGAGTCAATGTGACCTTTATTTCACAAAGCAAGTCATTAAGAAATGATTCTTGTTGTGATTTGGCACTGTATAGGTAAAACTGAATTGAATTCATTCCGCAGTGGAGGAGCATTGCTGAGCAACTTGGGCTTCTTATTTTGCCCAGTGATATTTGGCATACAGACTGAAGCAGCCAGCCCAAGGGAAGCACGGAGAAGCACACAGCTGCCGTGGTTATCAAACACATTATATTTATCCTCTGCTAGAAAAGCCTCATATTTTAAATTTTGACCAGCTGTTCAATGTTCTGAAATTTTAACACCATCTCATTTGTTTTTTGTCCAACAGGAGTGGGTGCATCCATTTGCCAGGATAAACTCAAATCAAATCTTAGAAGGAAGTTCCAGCATTTGTTTGAGGGAATTACTAAAGCAGGAAACCCAACACCTTTCAATCAGATCTACACAGAGCTGTACATCACAGAGGGAGGGACCGGAGAGGTCAGTGACGAACATGAGGTCAGACAGATCGAAACAGCATCTAGACGACGTGCGAGGTTAGAAAAGACAATCGCCTGTAAAGACATATTTCAGCCGCTGCTGGGAAGAGATCAACCAGTCAGAACAGTGCTGACAAAGGGAGTGGCTGGTATTGGGAAAACGATATTAACACAAAAGTTCACTCTAGACTGGGCAGAAGGCAAAAACAACCAAGATATCCAGTTTACATTTCCATTCACTTTCAGGGAGCTAAATGGATTAAAGGAGGAAAAGGTGAGCTTGGTAGAACTCGTTCACCTCTTCTTCTCTGAAACAAAGGATGCAGAATTTTGCAGATTTGAAGACTTCCAGGTTGTGTTCATCTTTGACGGTCTAGATGAGTGTCGCCTTCCTCTGGACTTTCAAAAGAATAAGATCCTAACTGATGTCACAGAGTCCACCTCAGTGGATGCACTGCTGACAAACCTGATCAGAGGAAAACTCCTTCCATCTGCTCGACTCTGGATAACCACACGGCCTGCAATGGCCAGTCATATTGATCCTAAATGTGTTGACGTAATAACAGAAATCAGAGGATTCACTGACTCGAAGAAGGAGGAGTACTTCAGGAAGAGTTTCAGGAATGAAAAGCAGGCCAGCAGGATCATTTCCCACATTAAAGCATCACAAAGCCTCCACATCATGTGCCACATCCCAGTCTTCTGCTGGATCACTGCTACGGTTCTGGAGGATGTGCTGAAAACCAAGAAGGGAGGAGAGCTGCCCAAGAACCTGACAGAGCTGTACATCCACTTCCTGGTGGTTCAGGCCAAAATGAAAAAGGTCAAGTATGATGGAGGAGCTGAGACAGATCCACACTGGAGTCCAGAGAGCAGGAAGATGATTGAATCTCTGGGAAAACTGGCTTTTGATCAGCTGCAGAAAGGAAACCTGATCTTCTATGAATCAGACCTGACAGAGTGTGGCATCGATATCAGAGCAGCCTCAGTGTACTCAGGAGTGTTCACACAGATCTTTAAAGAGGAGCGAGGACTGTACCAGGACAAGGTGTTCTGCTTCGTCCATCTGAGTGTTCAGGAGTTTCTGGCTGCTCTTCACGTCCATCTGACCTTCATCAACTCTGGAATCAACCTGCTGGAAGAGGAACAAACAACCACTCAGATGTCAAAGCCTAATCAAAAGGAACTGAAACTCTTCTACCAGAGTGCCGTGGAACAGGCCTTACAAAGTCCAAAAGGTTACTTGGACTTGTTTCTACGTTTCCTTTTGGGTTTGTCACTGCAGTCCAATCAGACTCTCCTACAAGGACTACTCAAAGAGACAGGAGTAAACTCACAGATAAACCAGGAAGTAGCCAAGTACATCAGGGAGAACATTGGGGAGAATCTGTCCCCAGAGAGAAGCATTAACCTGTTCCACTGTCTGAATGAGCTGAACGACCACTCTCTAGTGGAAAGGATCCAACAGTCGCTGACATCAGGAAATCTTTTCACGGTTAAACTATCCCCGGCTCAGTGGTCTGCTTTGGTGTTCATCTTACTGTCTTCAGAAAAAGATTTGAATGAGTTTGACCTGAGGAAGTACTCTGCTTCTGAAGAAGGTCTTATGTGGCTGCTGCCAGTGGTCAAAGCTTCCAGTAAATCTCTGTATGTTCATGCACAACCAGATAAGTCACTGTCACTTTAAATACTGTAAAGAAAGAGAAAAAATGATTAACTTCCTACTTGTTTTTTTCCTTACCCCATCAGGATGATTGGATGTAACCTTTTGAGCAGAAGCTGTAAAGCGCTGTCCTCTGTTCTTAGCAAGTCCTCTAGTTTAAAAGAGCTGGACCTGAGTTACAACAACCTGCAGGATTCAGGCATAAGACAAATGTTTGCAGATCTGGAGAAAAACTTTAAACTGGAGGTTCTCAGGTTGGTTTCAGAATTTTTACACTAAAATTGTATTATTTAAATATATAGGTTAGAAAATGAAACAAGGAAAGTCAGGAAACTATTAATCTCCATAAGTTCATATGTGTATTTTCATACTTACCATTAATTTTTAGTGTGATGGCTGCACACTGAGACTCTGAAACTTTCAGCTGGATCCATTTAAACATTAAAGGCCACTCTGTGCTTTCAGGTCTAAACTTGGCCCCATAGTCTAATAATGGCCAGATCAAATTAAAAGCTTTACTCAGTGAATATTCTTGGTGCTAAATAGCATACAAATAGACTGATGATTATTTCTAGTCCACGTTCTTTTGCTGCAGTTCGCACAATTTACAGGTCACACAGACAGACAGACAGACAGCCCAATAGATAGATTGATAGCTTGATAGATTATCTTAGGAAGAAAAACATAGATCTTATTTTTTCTTAAAAAAACCACTGTATTACAGCAACCAAAACAAGTGATTCAATAAATCAAAAACTAAATTTTATATAATAAGAAGAATTCATTTCTGAAAAAACAAACAACAACCCCAAACAAACGCTGAATTACAGGTTTAATGTGGGTCCTTTACCTTTAACAGAAAAACACAGTAAATGGGGACATCAAGAGCTCAGAATAATCAATACTTAAATGTAATTGTATTTAAGTAAATATAATTAAAGTATACATCTCAACAGGAACACTGAAATGAGGGGACTTCAGTTAATAAAATCAAATAGTGTTAAAAAATGGCTAGATTCCCTGTTAGTGGTTTTAAAATAAATGGAGGCTGTGCTCTTCAAGATCATGTCCCTTAAAGGTCCGATGGTGCAATGTCCAAATACCTCGGAACAATTATAGATTCCAAACTGAACTTTGAAACAAACTGAGAAGCTTAGTCATGTTTCACAACGCTGTCTTATTTCCACCTTAATAAACCATGAAGATTTTATTTAACACGATTTAAAATCAAATTGTGAAACAGAGGAGGCATTTTTGGTTTTATTTATTTCTTCGTTATGCAATATTATGCTTTTCTGTTGTCTCTGTTTGTATTGAAAATGTATAGTGTCGATGAATGACACCATAGTAACCTGAACCTACCCCTGAATGAATAAATCTATATTCAAATATTTTTTAATAATTCTCATTAGTACGAGCTGAAATTTGTTTTTTTTCTGTATTTTTTTTATTCCATATTTCTGATGAATGCTCAATATTATGTCTTCAGGCTAAGTGCCTGCGAGCTTTCATGGAGAAGCTGTAAAACTCTCTCCAGAGTTCTCAGCAGTCAGTCCTCTACTCTGGAAGTGCTGGATCTAAATAATAATGACTTGACGGATTTAGCAGTCACGTATCTCTTCACGCCACTTAAGAGTCAACTGTGTACACTGAAGATTGTCAGGTAAGAGCTCTTCAACAACATGTGACAACATTCATATTCAAATCAGCACTTCTGAACCTGTGGTGGCTAACCTTCAGAATCTGAAGGGTCTAGTTTGTCCTGAAAATTCTATTTTGCTGGATTTCTTATAAATTTTACTTTGCAAAAGCTGAATTCATTCTTTTTTTCTTCAGGCTGGGTGGCTGTAGCCTGTCGAATGAAAGCTGTGAAGCTCTTGCTTCAGTCCTCAGTTGCCAGTCGTTCAGTATGATAGAGCTGGACCTGAACAATAATGACCTGCGGGACTCAGGAGTGGCGCTGCTGTCTTGTGGATTGAAGAGTCCTCAGTGCAAACTTGAAACTCTCAGGTTAGATAAGAATATGCTTTTGTTTTTTGTTATTTCAAGTTTTTTAATGTTTTCATATCACACATTTTCTACAGTTAATGCAAAATTGCAAACAGATAAACCCAGTGATGTTGAAATGTTTACAGCTTGTCAGGTTGTCTGATAACAACAACGGGTTGTGCTTCGTTGAGCTCAGCACTGAGTTCAAACCCTTCTCATCTGAGAAAGCTGGATCTGAGTTATAATCACCCAGGACCCACAGGAGTGACGCTCTTCTCTGCTGCACTGCAGGATCCACACTGCAGATTGGACTCTCTAAGGTAGGAAGACAGGTGCTCGTAACCTTATTCAAGTTAAGACTTCAGAAACCAACCTATGGATACTACAAGCAACCTGTCAGTCACATGGTTACGCTAACTGGAGCAAGAGTGTACAAAACAAACATCATGTTCTATTTAATACAAGTGACTGAGGCTATAAACCCATCAGGAAAGTCTTTACCAAGGTCAAACAATACCATAGTCACCCACTCAATCCAGTTCAGTTCAACTTTATTTACATAACCCCAAATCACAACAACAGTTGTCTCAAAGCGCTTCATATTGTAAGGTAAAGACCCTACAAAAATCAACAAACAAACCCTTATTGGCAAGCACTTGGCAACAGTGGGAAGGAAAAACTTTAACTTTAACAGGAAGAAACCTTCAGCAGAAGCAGGCTCAGGGAGGGGCGGGGCCATCTGTTGGGGTGAGGGGAGGGAGACAGGACAAAGACACGCTGTGGAAAAGAGCCAGAGATGAATCATAACTAACCATTAAATGCAGAGAGGTGTATAAACATTTAGAGATTTGGAAGAGGGGAGTGAAGAAGCCCACAGAGGCCTAGACCCATTGCAGTGTAACTAAGGGAGAGTTCAGAGTCACCTGATCCAGCCATTAGTTTATGCTTTAGTAAAAATGAAAGTTTGAAGCATAATCTTCAAAGTCGAGAGGTTGTCTCTCTCTCCCAAATCCACAATTCGTTCCACAGAAGAGGGGCCTGAAAACTGAAGACTCTGCCTCCCATTCTACTTTTAAATACTCTAGGAACAACAAGTAGGCCTGCAGAGCGGGAGCGAAGTGCTCTAATAGGGTGATATGGTACTACAAGATCATTAAGATAAGATCCTGATTATTTAAGACCTTGTATGTGAGGAGCAGGATTTTGAATTCTGGATTTAACAGGAAGCCAATACAGGAGAAATCTGCTCTCTCTTTCTAGTCCCTGTCAGGACTCTTGCTGCAGCATTTTGGATTAGCTGAAGGCTTTTCAGGGAGTTTTTAGGACTTCCTGATAATAATGAATTACAGTCGTCCAGCCTGGAAGTAATAAATTAGATTTTTTAGAGGACAGAATACTGTTCTGAGATGTAAGAAAATATCTTGCTTTTAGTTTGTTAATATTCTCAATGATTTAAATTTTTAGCTAGTCAAGCATTTTCATGTCTCTTTGTTTGAATTATTATTCCAGGCTGGACAGCTGCGGAGCTCAACGATTGAAACCAGGACTGAGGAAATGTAAGTGTGTTTAGCTTGATTAATGAAGCTAACATGAGCTTATGTATATATATACACCGAGTGTCATTCATCTAAAGAAAAGACAGATCTATGACCTGGACTTTGTGAAGGTTTAAATACATTTATGATCAAACTTGATTATGTGGAGTTTGTATCATTTCTTGGACACCTACCAAATGTCTTTGAACTCTGTTAGCTCACAGTTAAAAGATTTATTTCATGTTTTAGCACCGATGTGTTGTTATCACATTTCTTAATATTAAGTTGGCAAAAAGATTTTATATTTTAAGATTTTATGCCTTAAACTTGCTGACTTGCAATACATTTACTAATTGTTTATCTGAAGCTGTGGTATAAAATAATTTGATATAACAATGGATTCATTTACTCTGGGTCATGTGATCTGCGTGGTGATGCAGTCATGTGATCTGACTGGTGATGCAGTCATGTGATCTGACTGGCATCAGTGCTCGACTCTATGGACGGTTCTGACGGTTCTGTTTTCATTTTGCCGTCAGACGCCTGTGAACTCAAAATGGACCTGAACACAGTACACAGGAACCTTTACCTGTCAGAAAACAACCTTGTGACAGATGACGACGAGGAATGGCTGTATCCAGATCACTCTGAGAGGTTTGAGTGCTGGTACCAGCTGATGTGTACACGTGGCCTGACTGGTCACTGTTACTGGGAGGTGGACTGGAGTGGGCTGGTGTCTATAGGAGTGACTTACAGAGGGATTAAAAGGAGTGGTGCTGGTATTGACAGTCGTATTGGTGGGAACAACATCTCCTGGAGTCTGGACTGCTCTGCTGATAATTATTCTGCATGGCATAATAACTCAGTGCGGATCATAGATAGCCCTGCTCCCTCCACGAACAGAGTGGGAGTGTATTTGGACTGGTCTGCTGGCACTGTAGCCTTCTACAGAGTCATTTTGGATACACTGACACACATCCACACGTTCCACTGCAGCTTCACCGAACCTCTTTATCCTATCTTCAGGATACGGTCAGAGTTCACCTATGGTGTTTACAACGCTGTGTCTCTATGTCAGATGGATGCAGAAGACTAGAGACAAACTGCTTTCCTTACACGTTTAATCGAAGCATTTTGTAATTTGAAGATAACTGACAAACATGGACTATAATGGACTATAACAGACACAAAATTTTACATCTTGGTTTGGCAGCTGCAAGTCCTGTGAGAAGCAACAACTCAATAGGATTGTTAAGACTGCCAGGAGGATTGTTGGTGCCCCTCTCTTGTCTACAAACAGCGCCGCATACGCAGAGCTATCTCCATCATCAGAGACCCCCACCACCCGTCTCATGGCCTGTTCTTCCTCCTGCCGTCTGGCA